TAGATAAAACAGACCAAATTGTAGAGAGACACACTCTTGAGTTCTGGACATTGGAGTTGATAAGTTATCTAATTTTATTTCATTTATCGTTATTACTTCTCAGAGATCGCAATATTTTTTCCTAACATATAATTTTGTCTTTCTTTCAGTCTAGCTTGAGGAACCCAAAGATAAGCCCACGCAATGGTGAAACGTATCTCTATCTATAAGAAGCAGTATGTGTGTGTGTCTGTGTGTAACGAATGCACGACTGCAATTTTCGACGGATTTGCACCAAATTTACATGCACATGCTCCAAGTTAGCAAGGAAAGCCAAGACCGACTTTTTTTTTCATGCTTCTACGGCACTTTTCATGTAGTTTGCAGCCATTTTGTACTGGCCAGAGTGAGAGCCTATAGCTGGCTGCCACGAATAGACAGGAAGATTCTATTGGCCAGCGTGAGAGCCAACAGCTGACTGACACGTATGTTAACTAGCATGCACGCATGCAAAAAAAATCGATAGCTGCATTCGTCACAAGTGGGAAAATTTAAATCTGCATGGCACTTTACTCCAATTGGCTCATTCGCTTGCTTAAACTCAACATTGATTCTGATTCCGCAGAACTGGGTTGGGTGTGAAAAAGTATTTATGTTAACATTCTTTTATCATTCGGTTTTTCCAGTTACGAATCCTTTTTTAAAGCTGACCGTTTTGTGTTCATTTTGTTTAGTTCTTTTTTCGTAACAGATTTAATGTTTAGTATAGAGCTTAGAAAAAATTCGCAGTGTGAGATAGGCAAGAAGTAAGGCATGTAGCAACATCAGCACAGCAAAGGGCACTCCTTTAAAGGCAAGGAAGGGCAAAAATATTTTAAGTCAAGTGATAGCGATTGCTGTATGAGTCGTACGATTTTTGAATCAAGCACGGGCAACGCCGGAACATGCTGCTAATCATTAATAAATTTTTCACTTTGTCTTATCTTCACTTTCGTTTCGGATACTCTCATACATCCGACAAACACCCCTCCTTTATGAGAGTGAATCCAGGACAACGTTTTATCATACCTGTCCTTGTATGAGTGAATACTGTCAATATTATTTCTGTAACCATTTCACCTCAAGCAAGTCGATAAGGCTCAATGGGATACGAAGAATGAAAGAAAATTAGAAAGTGAGGAAAAATGACAATAAATGAAGGGGTTTCAGAAAGATGGCAATTGATTTTGCATTTAATTTATTATGGTTGAAGTTGACAAGAAAGCAATATACTCTGTCGTTGGTATGACGATAAACTATATCCGCGTCCTGGGTATGACGATAAACTACATCCGGCAGCAAGGTCTCTGTTCAGGAGGTTTTGAGGAGCGAGCAACCACTTCTTAATTGCTGTTGTTATCATGTTCACCTTTATCCGGAGTGTTAGCTATATGCAAATAGTTAACCCCCAAACTGCCGTCAAAACACTGTTAAAGTGCGAAGAACAAATTATTATCAGCAATACATCTTTGAAGAAAATATTAACAGCAATACATTTTTGGAAGATAAATATTACCAGCAAGGAATTTTGGGAAAAAATATTCCCAACAATACATTTTTGAAAAAAGAAATATTACCAGTAATAAAAAAAAATTACCAGCAATAAAAAAAATCTTGTCCGCATTATATAACCCATTGAAGTTGAAAGCCGTAAAACCAAACCAAACCAGGAAGATCCTGGAAGAGAGTTCCATGGACGATAAGTTCAAGAGAAGAAACTATTTGAATAGAACTTACGGTTACATCTTTCTATTTCAACAGTAAAATGATGAGATTTTTCCGCCAACCTAGTACTACGGTTACATAAATGAGGTCGGTGTATCAAAGAAGAAAGCTAATTAGAACAATTACTATGAAAATATTTATAGAAAAGACCCAGAACAGCTACGTTATGGACGTGGAAAAGTGACTGAAGCCAAGATTTTAGGTCAGGACCGATAACTTTACGGATACTTCCTTGGTTGTTGTCAAGAATCCTGAGATATATAGAAAGGGAACCAGAAAAGATGTGACAGCAAAGATGTCTTTCCGGAACTAAGCATTAAGATGTAGGAAAACTTCGTTAAAAACAAATAAAAGAGTGCTTAACAGCTATGATCCTCTATCTTCCCTTGGGGCGGTGAGGCTGGATAATTACCTGATAGACGAAGAAGAAACTTAAATAGACAGAGATGTGGTTCTGTAGGTTGAAGAGGAAATTTTAAAGAAAGTGGAAACTAGAAAGAAACTCATGCTTAAAGTCTGAGAAAGTTGCAATTTCCGGGGGAAACATCATGAGGAAGGCCATCTTGGAATATTATGCAGAGAAAAACAGCAGTCAACCTCTTGAATGAATTGGTTTGAGCGTATGGCAAACCAAGACAGAGTTGGAGAAAGGTCTAAAAAAAAGGATATTTTTATATCAATGATCTGAGAAAGCAGTTGCATACAGCTGAGAGTTTAGATATTTCTGAACGGGTTTGGCGCCATACATGACATCCATGTCAAAGTCTCGATCTGACGAGACTATGTAAGAGTATGACGAGATTTTAGATAACAGCTAACGTATTCTTTATTCATTAATCATTGTCTCATTTTAATGAAAATTTAATGGCAATCATTAGTTTGACATGCATTCTTTCAAATACGAGAAGTCAGCATTCAATTGACTCAGTACGCATGCGTCCATAACTAGTGTGAGTGCAAAACTTTCACCTTTTTCCTTTTTTTCTTATTTTATTTACTTTAGAGTTCATTTATTTCTAACGTGAGAACAACTTTGTTAGTGCCTCAGCTATTAACTTGTCATTTCTTTTCTGCCTAAGTCGTAATTCGAAATGGAATCATCGACTACGCGAAACAGGTTGAACGTTTAAGTTTTAGATGGAAGCCGCAGTAGCCGCCATTGTAGAGGTTGTAGTGACAGTGGGGATATAGCAGTTACGACGAAAGAGGAAGAACAAGTCTGGATTAAAGGAAAATAAACACATAAACACTAACACACATACCTATAGGTACATATATGCACACACATTTAGGAAAACGTATATAAAAATATACTTGTAAATAAGGTCGTCTTACAACAGATATAAGTTCCACATTGAGAGATATGCGTTTACGAACAGACAGCGGCTGACAACGTAAGTCTCAAAATTTATTGACTTTTGCGTTCTAAAATCAATGTAAAAAATGGAGTGAAAAAAGGAAAAACAAGTCGAAGGAAAGCTCAAATTTGTTCGCCGCAGGTTGTATACAATACTTTTCGATGTCAAGTGTCTTGCAGAGTCAGGAAGGTTACATAGCGGGAATGGAAGAAAAAAGAAGGTACGAATGAAAACGAATGAGTCAAAAGAAACCAAAGACAATAAAATAGAACGCCGAAAAAGAAAAAGAAATCAAAAGAAAGAAAAAAATCGATGTTCAATCTAAGTATTTAAGAAAAAATGAAGAGTAAGGTGTAAAATTATAGAAAGAAAGACGTTTATAAAAACGAGAGGTGAAAAACCTCAATAAATAGAAAGAGAGGGAGATAGTGATAAATAATGTTAAAATGAACGAAAGAAAGAACGTTAAAAATGAGGTGTAAACGATAGATAGATAGATAGATAGATAGATAGATAGATAGACATAAAGTTAAAAAAGAAAGAAAAAGTCTAAAAAAGAAAGAAAGAAAGAAAGAAAGAAATGGGGTTTTAAAAATTTAGCAAAAGGAAAGAAGTTGTAAAAATGAAAGAAAAAAAAGAAAGAAAAAGGAAAGAAAGGAGGTTGTAAAATGAGGGAAAGGAAGGACGTTGTAGAAAGAAAGAAAGAAAGAAAGAAAGAAACAAACAAACAAACAAACAAACAAAGAATGTTATAAAAATGAGGGAAAAGAAAGAAAGAAAGAAAGAATGTTATAAAAATGAGGGAAAAGAAAGAAAGAAAGAAAGAAAGAAAGAAAGAAAGAAAGAAAGAAGGTTATAAAAATGAGGGAAAAGAAAGAAAGAAAGAAAGAAAGAAAGAAAGAAAGAAGGTTATAAAAATGAGGGAAAAGAAAGAAAGAAAGATAGAAAGAAAGAAAGAAAGAAAGAAAGAAGGTTATAAAAATGAGGGAAAAGAAAGAAAGAAAGAAGGTTATAAAAATGAGGGAAAAGAAAGAAAGAAAGAAAGAAAGAAAGAAAGAAGGTTATAAAAATGAGGGAAAAGAAAGAAAAAAAAGAAAGAAAGAAAGAAAGAAAGAAGGTTATAAAAATGAGGGAAAAGAAAGAAAGAAAGAAAGAAAGAAAGAAGGTTATAAAAATGAGGGAAAAGAAAGAAAGAAAGAAAGAAAGAAAGAAAGAAAGAAAGAAAGAAAAGAAGGTTATAAAAATGAGGGAAAGAAAGAAAAGAAAGAAAGAAAGAAAGAAGGTTATAAAAATGAGGGAAAAGAAAGAAAGAAAGAAAGAAAGAAAGAAAGAAAGAAAGAAAGGTTATAAAAATGAGGAAAAAGAAAGAAAGAAAGAAAGAAAGAAAGAAAGAAAGAAAGAAAGAAAGAAGGTTATAAAAATGAGGGAAAAGAAAGAAAGAAAGAAAGAAAGAAAGAAAGAAAGAAAGAAGGTTATAAAAATGAGGGAAAAGAAAGAAAGAAAGAAAGAAAGAAAGAAAGAAGGTTATAAAAATGAGAGAAAAAAAAGAAAAAAAAAAAAAAAAGAAAGAAAGAAAGAAAGAAAGAAAGGTTATAAAAATGAGGGAAAAGAAAAAAGGAAGAAAGAAAGAAAGAAAGAAAGAAAGAAAAGGTTATAAAAATGAGGGAAAAGAAAGAAAGAAAGAAAGAAAAAAGAAATAAAGAAAAGAAAGAAAGAAAGAAAGAAAGAAAGGAAGGTTATAAAAATGAGGGAAAAGAAAGAAAGAAAGAAAGAAAGAAAGAAAGAAAGGTTATAAAAATGAGAGAAAAGAAAGAAAGAAAGAAAGAAAGAAAGAAAGAAAGAAAGAAAGAAAGGTTATAAAAATGAGGGAAAAGAAAGAAAGAAAGAAAGAAAGAAAGGTTATAAAAATGAGGGAAAAGAAAGAAAGAAAGAAAGAAAGAAAGAAAGAAAGAAAGAAGGAAAGAAAGAAAGAAAGAAGGTTATAAAAATGAGGGAAAAGAAAGAAAGAAAGTAAGAAAGAAAGAAAGAAAGAAAGAAAGAAAGAAAGAAAGAAAGAAAGAAAGAAAGAAGGTTATAAAAATGTGGGAAAAGAAAGAAAGAAAGAAAGAAAGAAAGAAAGAAAGAAAGAAAGAAGGTTATAAAAATGAGAGAAAAGAAAGAAAGAAAGAAAGAAAGAAAGAAAGAAAGGTGGTCGTAAAAATCCGGAAAGGAAGGGAGAATGTAAAAATTAAAGAAACAAAGAACCTTGTTAATTAAAAAAAGAAAGACGACTATAAAAATGTGAGGGGGACAAACTCGATAGATATATAGATAGAGTGATATAAAAAACAGAGAGAGACAGAAAAACTGATAATGTTAAAATGAAGGAACGTTATAAAATGAGTGACAAACAATAGCTAGCTAGCTAGCTAGCTAGCTAGATAGATAGATAGATAGATAGATAGATAGATAAGTTAAAAAGATAGATAAGTTAATAAGAAAGGAAGAAAAACGTAAAGATGAAGAAAGTAAGAACAAAAGATCGAAAGAAGAAAGGACCTTGGAAAATAACGGAAAGAAAAACGCAAAAAAATGTAAAAAAAGAATTGAATAAAGAAAGGAAAAAATAATGCATGAAGTAAAGAATTTGGTAAAAATGATGAAAATGAATCAAAAAAGAACATGCCTGGGGAAAGGTTATGTCTGAAGAGGGGAGAGGGCGTTGTAATTCACCACAGCTGCCCGGGAAACGTCAGGCAAAAGCCAAAACTGTTCAGCTATTTTTTCTCAACTTTGTCCACAAAGAAGAAAAACAAGTCGAAATGCTAGAGTTAACCTGAGGCAAAAATATGGACACAATTTCCATAGAGAATCCCTTGCTTCCAGAGAAAAACTTCTTCAAATATGTATACAGATTCACATCTGTAACAAATGGGCGTGCGCAAGTGTACACACACACACACACAGACTCAGAGGTACGCACACTCAACGTCACGAGCTAGCTGCATAAATAGATACATAGATACAAGGATAGATGGATATGAACAGAATGGAGATAGATAGATAGATAGATAGATAGATAGATAGATAGATAGATAGATAGATAGATATGATCAGACTGAGATAGATGGATACATATGAACGTCTGAAAAATATAGATATGAAAGGACTGAGATAGATAGATAGATAGATAGATAGATAGATATGATCAGGCTGAGATAGATAGATAGATAGATAGATAGATAGATAGATAGATAGATAGATAGATAGAAACAGACAAAGCTAAGTAGATAGATGATTTTCAAATAAAATACTTAGGCATGAATCTGGGGACAGGTGTGGCCGTAATCGGTACGTTGTTGGGGTCGGCTTACTGAGTTTAAATTCCTGGGGCGGTCACTGCGTTCACTTTTGCACGAATATGCTTGGTATGAATTCATCTATTCTCCTCCCTCGGCTATGGGTTAAAAAGCAGAGCAGTCTAGATTCTCTAGCCATGGTTAGTAACCAGGAGTAAGACAATATCTTGGAATTCAAAAGCTGTGACAGCGCTCTGCAGACAATGTCTAAAACCATTAAAATGTTGCGACCTGCGGAGCAGAAGTACCATCCGATAGTCTTTGTCATTAAAGTTGAATTTTTAGGCAAAACTCCAGTGTTTAAAACTGTCCTATTAAACAGATCATTTTTTTAAACAAAGGAATGCTTTTTAAAATATACACTGTTTTATTACTGAGTAGTGTGAAAGAATATCAGAAAAAATATTAATGAGAACAATAAAAGAAGCCTGAAGAGCGTTCTACAAGCGAGAAAAGTGGGTGAAGAAACTGTCAGCATAGAACTTACGGTTTCATCGAATCATTTCAACTTTCAAAGATTATTTTAAAACAGATATAAACATAAAATATATTAAATAATTGCCGGACTTAATCCATCTCATTACATACATACATACATACATACATACATACATACATACAGATAGATAGATAGATAGATAGATAGATAGATAGATAGATAGATAGATAGGTGTTGGGGCCCACTCACCTTCTCATCAGAATGGACTGATCTCTCTACTACTAATAGGACAGTTCTATAGAGTTCTGGGAAGATCAGGTGACCATCGACACTTCCGTCTCTCTACCGGAAGATACAGTTGGACTTTATACTCTTTCTGATTGTTACTGACTAACCTGCATTCGTTTGACTACTAATCTCTTTGTTGTAAATACCTCTTCAGATATACCAGTATTTTTCCCTACGTATGTGTTTGTCCTTATTTCAATACACGCAAGCGGAAACACTCAACATCTCAACAGTAGGTAGGTAGGTAGATTGATAGATATTAGTGTGAATATAAACTAAATAACGCGATATTAGTAAATCTATATGCGTGCAAAAGCGTGCATGCGCAAATAATCAAATAAATATTTATTTAATCTATGATGCAAACAAAACGGTGATTGTATGGTTAAACAAAGTTACGAAATATTAATAAATACCCATATACATACCATGAAAGTTTTTAGAGAAAAGCTACGTTACGTGGGAAAGTGACTGAAATCGTAATGCCTGATCAGGACCAATAACATGTCAGATTCTACTTTGGATTTTATCAAGAATCTCTAAATATATAGCAGCAGACCAGATGTGGCGACAATAATCAATGTATTGACTAAGGATTGACTTATAAATATGGAAGATAGATTCTGGCGAGAAAAATAGTTTGGCCCGACATATTGAACTTTCTTAGCAATGGAGTCAATATAATCTTTTCACTTCACATCGGCGGGAAACGTTAACGCGAGAAGCCGTAATGAGTCAATCTTCTGGAGGATAGTATCAGCCATGTTGATGGAAGGTAATAATTGTTCTCTCAGACGATTAAAAAGATTCGTTTCATTTTGGAGCCGTTAAATTTAGAAGCTACCTCTTGCCCAGTTAACAATTGATTGTAGGTCATTACATATACATGAATAAAGACAAAAGGCAAACGTTTCTTAGCCTACACGCTTCATGCACTTGGTAAAGTCCAGCAGAAGAGAAAAGTTGGCCTTTTGTCTTTATTCATATTGTCATTTTACAGATGTACTTTTAGATATATCTGAATTTACACACTCACACGCATATATATATATATGTGTATGTGTGTGTGTGTGTGTGTGTGTGTGTGTGTGTGTGTGTGTGTGTGTGTGTGTTTTGTTTCATTAAAAACGACAGACAAGTTACTACGGTTAAGCTTTTTATTTAATTTTTCTTGTGTTCTAACAAGAGCTTAAAATAAGTACATCAGTTACACAACCACATGCTTATCCAGACGGCTTACGTTACACCTATCTGATCACAGCTCCATTAGAACCCATTTAAACACACACATAAATTTACCCGACTCCATTAAAAACATACTAGTAGAAAACACAAATATATTAACTGCATCCACCTGCAAAAAAAGACTAAAAATAATGGAAGCTTTAATAATAAAAAAGAAAAGGCCAACTTTTAACAATATTAACTACGAACAAAGCCACAATGTGCTAACCGTATTCGGAAATTAAAAACATCCCTACCACACACTAAGACATACACAGAACGCACACACTCAATTAAACTGAAAGATCGAATCGTCCTTGATAATGGCTAAAGGAATAGCCGAAAGCTGGCGGAAATATAAAACATTTGGACAGTTCTTACACACCCTTTGTCCAGAAATGAAAGCTCTTGTTCGAACACAAGAAAAATTAAATAAAAAGCTTAACCGTAGTACCTGGTCTGTCGTTTTTAATGAAACATGCATAAAGGAGGATTGCTACCTAAATATAACTATATATATATATATATATATATATATATATATATATATATATATATATATCCGAAAGCAAGAAAAACGTCTTTATTTCTTCAGTTCTAAAACATCGATGTTTCACCTTATCACTTTATTAACAACACTGCTATGGCGCCGGTCAGCTGGGAATATGACTGTATCTGGCATACAGTCAAAATAAGTTATTGGTCAGTCTGTAAGAGAGGCAGTAGCTTCATCCTCCCATAGAAATTCTACATCCTCTATTAATGTTACAAATGCACTAACTATGGCCGCTACCAAGCGTGAAGATAGTTCTAAAAGTAGATCTGACCGAGAAAAAGAAAAAGATATTGTAATCTTAAAAGTGAATTACTCGAAAGAGTCTCTGATTGACCTCACCACAGTCCTGCCTCATGAGAAAGATACCCCGACAGAAGATATTCGCATAACCCAATATATATATATATATATATATATATATATATATATATATATAAATATATATAAAAATGCATATCAGTAATAATTTATTTAATGAATAATGTTATATACATCGCTTCAGACCGAAAGTTTTTAAGACATGGAATCAATCCATCCAGAAAAATATACCAAGATAAAAAGGAGAAAGGGAAATGAGAGAGAGGGAGAAAATAAAAAAGAAAAAGTAAAAAAAGAAAAAATAATATTAACAATAAGAAAGGAAGAAAGAAAAAATAAAATTAAAAAATAGAAGTTTTTTTTTTTAATTAACGAATGAAAGAAGACAGTGGAGAGGGAGAGGGTGAAAAATGGAGAGAGTGTGAGAATCTATATTTGGTCTATATTTTCTCCTAAATTTTACACACACACACACACATATATATATATATATATATATATATATATATATATATATATATATATATATATATATATATATAATGACGGAGCAATATATACCAAATATGGATTGGAACTCTATAGAAAAAAGGATAAAGAACAAATAGGAAGCGCTTATAAATCTTACATGTTTCGCTTTTATTAAAGCTTCACCAGAAAATGAAATATGGTCGAGAATTACAAGAATTTTATTTTTCTCTTCCATATTTCATAGTTTCATGCAGATTTAATAAAATCCAAACAACACAATCGATTTATAAACGTTTCCTATTTGTTCCTTATCCTATTATATATATATATATATATATATATATATATATATATATATATATAGTTGCGTAACTCGGACCACTTGGAAGATTCCGAGGATCACAATGAACAAATAATTATAGTGTAATATTCCTCAATTAGACATTAAGCACTTAATCATTTGTCAACATTTTAGATTACAGAATGCTGTCATCAAAACGAGTGAACCTCATTCGACATCTGAAAAGTGTCTTTCGACCTGCAGAAGAGATTGTGTAGCCACAACCAGCAACCAGGCTCTTTGATCAACTTGCACAAATCAGCGCAAGGGAGACTCTCAACTAACTCTACTAACAAAATTATTTTTGATAAATATAAAACTAAATATGTAGATTCATTGAAAAAAGTAAACACAAAGTTAAGCTAGAATTCATAAACATTAGTAACAATTCAAGCAATGTATGTAAAAATACAAAACGCAACATAAAATCCACCATTCAAAAAAAATGTCAAACCAATATAAGTCGAATTTTCCTTAATTTAATCCACAGACATTTCGGGCATATACAAAACAACAAAATCTTCAACAACAACAACAACTTTAAAACTAGCTACAGCTCCACTAAAAACCTCGAGCATTATACAGCACAACATAATTACATATTTAAATAAATATTTAAACAACCTCAATAGCAATATTAATACAGACAAAAAGTGTAATTGCCGAAAAAACAGTACCTGTCCACTAAATCATAAATGTATGAATAAAATCGTTATTTATAAGGCTAGCATTAAACATAATGACGAGACTACGTTTTATTTCGGTTCCATTGCAAATCACTGGAAGACCTGGTATTACCATTATAAATTGACTCTTACCAATAAACAATATTCAAATGCCACGGTACTCTTAAAATTTTACTGGGAAATCAATACAAATCAATACGTCACCAAAACTACACCTCTTTTTTATCCGGGGCGCGCCGATCGATGTAACCTGTGTTTGCTGGAAAAAGAATTCAGTCTCAAAAATATTAACAACCCCAACCTGCTGATTAAACATCGTGAGCTTATGATAGCTTGTACGCATAAAAAAAAGCTCTCTCCTAAAGTATTTTGATTCTGGATAAATCTTTTTACCCTACTTCCACTGCCCATTGAATATTTTAGGTAAAATACTTATTACCACCCACACACACACACTTTAAACATTCAAGCGTCTATTAATACGTAACGGGTTACATACGTTTTTAAATATTTTTTTTTAATTTTCTAAAATTTTCATCTCTCTATCTACACTTTTTATTTTTTTTAGCTTTTTTAATTTATATCCTAATATTATTAAATGTTAGCTTTATATGCTGTACAGTGTAAATCCTTTGAAACTGGGATTATTTATAATTAATATACAAACCACTTCTACCCTACGACCTTTCTTTTTATTTATATTGTTTGTTCTATACGCTTTATAATTTCTTAATTTAAATCTTATCTCTTTTTTATTTTTTCCTAACAGAAATAACATGTACCATATCAACTATCATCATCCTTTTTTTTCTTTTATTCCCAACGGAAAAAAAAACATGTACCATATAAACTTTAAGTTTGCGTCTTTTTTTTTCCCAATATCGCCCTCCACAAAATCTATATTTTGAATTTACACCCCAACAATATATTGGGTTTATATTAACTTTGAGCTTTGAATATATTTTAGTGTTCCTCCTATGAGACCCAGTATTTTTAAAAATACAACTGTAATAATTGATTCAATTGCCATATGTGCCTGACGACTTGGAAAACCATGAAACTTTAAATTGCACTACAAACGTATGTATATGTGTATTTATTAAAATATACTTCGTAGCTCTATTTGCTTATTTGCGTATGCACGCTATTGCACGCATATACAGTTGCTAATATCTTGTTATTTTATACTCACACTTATCTCTCTCTCTCTCTCTCTCTCTCTCTCTATATATATATATATATATATATATATATATATATATATATATTTGTGAAATGGATTAATTCCGACAATTATTTAATATATTTTATGTTCATATCTGTTTAATCTTTATAATTGAAATATGTAATGTTACATTTCCTATTAAAACATTCACCTGAGAGTCTACTTGTATTATGAGTATTTTTTCTGCTTATTGTCTACTGTTTACTATGAATTGTTACGCATGCGTACTCAGATAGTGTGTAAATCCATACACAAACACCATTTTCAATATATTTGTTTTGCTTTTGTCCTTGATGAACTTCAAACTGATGCCAGAAAAGCTTGGTTTCATCCAAAGGGCAAATCAGCTATTTCATGTTTCTTTTAAGTAACAGGATTTAAGTTTTGATCTCGCTCAAAAGAAAACCTGACAAAAAGATAACATTGTATAGAAAATATTTTTAGATAAAAGCTCAAAACATTTCAGCCTTTCAAAATCTTTACGAAAATGTACAAAGTCAAAAGTCTCTGATTTTTTTTTTTCTTTTTGTTTTAAGAAAAGCACAAATGAACTTTTTCTTATACCTAACGGTCTTTGGAAGTCAACATTTTTTGAATGTGTGTTTAATTAACTTACTTCTTTAATCACGAAGTCACAAAGATAATGTATCTGCTTCGTTTCTTGTTTCAGTCTTCGAGTCTGCCACAAGAGCAAACAGGATAAAATTCAAATGTTTCAGTCAGTTAAGCGAAATAAACACTGGGGTGATCATGTCTCTTTCAATTCTTGACTGAATAGCACTATGAGGCTGTTTTTTTTTTTTTTGTTGTTGTTTTTTTTTTCCTGTGGTTAAGTGGTTACTAACCAAAGTTCTTGGACCCAATCTCTCCTGGTATTTAACCCATAGATGGAGGGAGAATATATGGATTCCTAACTCTCCCAAAGGTATTTGCGTGAAACTGAATGTAAGGAACCCGCTTGGAAATCGAACTCTGTTCTGCGGTTTCTCATTCCGAACACCAACTGCACATCCGAAAAAGTTCACCAGAATAAATTTAAAAAAATATGTTTTCTTTTAAAAGAATTAATTTTTTTTCTTAATTTTGTTTGATTTGTTCGTTTTCTACTGTTTATCAACTTTTCGCAGGTTATTCAAAAACAGAAAATATTTTTAGCTTGTAAAATTTTATTTATTTATTGAGATAATAACTGTTTAGTGATACAAACCTGGCTAATTAATCCGTAGCTGAGGGGTAAAGAAACTGATTCACACCTTTCCCAAGGACATTTGCGCGTACGTGAATAGAACGAACCCAACTGGAAATTAAACTTTCCTCTCCAATTGACAATTTTGAGCCATTATTCATTAAACCACCTCCAGGCTTACAGCACGTGGTATTATCAAACGGTCACCCATCAAGGTACTGGTTAGGCTCGACGTTGCTTAACTTCAGTAATCGTACGGGAATCGTTGTTTCAACTTGATGAGGCCGTAAGCCTTTTTCTGACTTAACCAAAAACAGAAAAAAATTTATATCATTTTTTTTCTTTCTTTTTCTCACAAATACGAAAAATATTCGAAGCAAACATTTTTTTTTTCATTCTTGTTAGTTGTCTATATGACGCTGAATAAAGTGGCTGCTGACGAGTCAAACTGGCATGTGGTTGTATCTATAATCATGATAAATGACTGATATAAAATATCCGAACAAAGTCCCGAGATCCGTTCAAGATGCTCTAAGCCTGACACAGAAAGGGTTGGAGAAGCATAAAAGTTTTTCACGATCTTTCAATACATTAACACTTAGCATCAATGCATTTGGTCCAAAGTTGCTTAAGCATTGTAATCCTATTACGGAACAAGGTATCGTCTTTGTCCTTCAAAACCTCCTCCACATCACATATGATCTCATCAGTGTTTCCAAAACGGCGACCACCCAGGTGGGATTTGAGTTTAGGAAAAAGAAATCAGATGGAGCTAAATCTGGTGAGTAAGGAGGATGCAGTGTTTTTTAACATACTAGATCATTTCCATTATAATAAATTTAGCACACGAGAAAGGAAATTGAGCACAGGAGAAATTGTGCTAGGGGTAGTTTCGCCCAACACCGCAAGTTGCTGCAAAACTGAAACATTAACCCACAACCTCGGCAAGTGGCCGAGTGGGTAAAACGTTCGGTTAGAACGTTATAACCATGAGACCTGCGTTTAAATTTCACCATGGCCGATTACCAAGAAAGCTGACTTCTTTACGTTATCGACGTGGGGAGGCGATCTCATCGTGTGGCAACTTTTACATTAAGAAAGTGCTTGAAAACCATACCACAAGTTGATCCAAGCCTTGTAAATTAAGTTGGGATGACGTAACTATCTGGGAGCTGCAAATGATTGTGCTAACATAAAGTCACAAGTCATCGTGACTGAGTGTTTAAGCGTACTGGCCGTGATCAGGCTGTTGATCACGGCCAGATAATACGCTCTGTTTCTAAGAAAATGTAACTAAGGTCCGCTCAGCATAGCATAGCTGGGTGCCTTGGATGTTGAACAATCAGAAATGTGCCTGAGCAAGCGCTTGTAACAGGGATTGACTAACTACCCTAATATAGAGCCATACTTGGATACGTGTGACCAGCTGTTAATAATAATTTACGAACTCGAGTCAGATTGTGTCTTTCATATGGATGTCATAAATGACGTCAGACACATTCAGAAATATCTTTATGGTCAGCTGTATACAATCGCTTTCTCAGGTCGATGGTTAAATGTGGCTCTGAGCGAATGAAGCCTGTAGGTTTTAGCGTGGGTCTTCTTTCTTTGAATCTCGTGAACAGACGCTACAGAATCACAATTAAAGAACTGTACCAGATGACAGAAACAACATTACTTGAGGGTTTCCACAACAACAAAAACTAAAATGAAACTCGAAGAGAAAGTAATGTCATAAATTCTACACTACTTCAAAATGAAACTAAGAAGGAAATGCTCAGAACCACTGGAAAGAGCAATAACAGCTACTGGACTTGAGAAAACCATTTTCCTGAAAAATTGTTTTAATAGAATGATTTTATGTTTCAATAAATAGCATTACTGGCTTCTCGCTCAATGAATGCCGAATGTTTCCTTATAATGAGACGGCTAATATTATCATTGTTACATTTGTTAGCCCGACGAGTACGGTTCAAATGTATTCTTGGCCTGTTTTAAATTATTTTTTCTTGTTTGTTTTCAATCTCTCCGAAAACTTTGGCTACTCATAAAAGAACATTCACTACTTTAAAGGTGCTGTGGGATTCAGTCAGTGATTTGTCATGCGTGATACACGCTTAGGCGATCATGTATCTTTTGATTTTTTTCCAGCAGTAGGTTGCGGTAGACCAGTTGCCATCCAAGCCGGTCTGTCCTGCTATTTACCCATAGCTGAGTGAAGAAAAGGAGGATTCATACCTAAGTAAGTGAACGTAATGGATTCGACTCCGAATTCTCAATCCGAGCCTCTAACCATTACTCCACCGTGCTTCCTGTGAGCTTTCAACAGCAATCCTACCTTTTCTGCCAATGAACTTTACTTAAAGCTGCTAAAAGGCGAATTTTTTTTCGGTATCAAATGAATTGACTCACTCTGCTTTTCTCTTTTTGTTGCGAGATGTAGTAACGACAACACTGGATTTATCTCCACCGGGGAAGATCACCAGCCCAGGACAAGCCGACTACTTAACTTTACAAAGCCACAGGGCGCAATTATACAACGTCACACACTACGACTAATCGCTCAATTTTTTTTCCTTTTTTAAAGCTAACTGTATACACTTTATATACTGTATGGATATATCTGTATATAATTTTATATTTCTTCTTTTGTCACCTATGTTGATCTTTATCAAAATATATTTATAAAATGAACAGTGTGTTTAATCTGTTACTTTTGAAACTACAGTATTCCTTTACTTTGAAATCCCGCATTCTTCCCTTAACTGGTTTGTCCTCGATATGTCCTGTGAGTCTCAAACTCTCTAAGCCCCATTTCTCATATGTCCAAGAAATGTAACTGTTTTTTCTTTCCATTTTCCGTAACCCTTTCAGTCCTGCGTTCCTGGACAATTTTAACCCTTCTGCCTGAGCTCATGAGTCAAAATTCGTCAATATGGGAAAGAGTGCAAGCCTGTTTCCCTAAAACAACTAGTTTAAGAGAAAGAGTTTATAAATTTCAACCTAAAACATGATTAACAGATCAGTCAATAAAAGCCAAATATTTACAATTTAAGGCTTTCTCGTTATTCCCACAGTCATGTGTATGACGGTAAACTACATCCGGCAACAAGACCACTTAATTGCTGTTGTTCCCGGTCCACTCTGACCCGGGGTGGTAGCACCCGTTAGGGTCCCAATTATGGGCATATATTGAGTCCCCAAACAAAACAAAATTGGTATGTAATGTTTCAGGATATATTTGAAAATAGTTACAAGTGTTCACCCACCGTTCAACTGTTTAAGTCATTTTTTCTACACTGTTCAAACCGGTAGCTGGGCATTACGCCATTTTTTCTCTACCACCTGTAAAGCGGTGGTCAGTGATCAAAGGGTTAAGACGTGTAACCTCTTCCGTTATAACTGGTCACAGTTGGTTTCAATGTCGTCCGGGTAGGTTATACATTTTAATTTATCTTACATAATACCAAACTGTTGGGCCCACATAAATTTTAGGAAAAGCTATCATGAAGTGGAAATAAATTCCGTATGGTGCGTTTCGTCCTTTAGGACTTCATCTGACTAAATTGATGCTTACGCTGATTCGAGTACATATATGCATGAAGGAGAGGGGACGCTGAAAATTTAAAACTTAATTTGATATATATGTTTGGGGCATATAATCTAGCCGGTTTCTTTAAGCTTTTTGCATTTGATTTTATTCGTCTCATGATTGAATATCCCACATTGTGCCATTCGAAGATCTCCCAAGAAAGGCGAAATTTTGTAAGTACTTAAACGTATATTTACTGTGGTTGATTTAGTGACTGCAGCTCTTTTTATACTTTTTCATCTAAGAAAACTGTTTTCTTTTTTAATTAAGGTAGCATATTTAAATCAAAATTTGATTACGACAGTTTTAAAAAAAGGTAGATGAAATCTGTTAGACTCTAAACCCAAAATCTATATTTGACAAAATAAAAAGGTTAAAATTTAATGTTTCAGTGTCCTGTACCATTCGTGCATATCTGTATTTGCACAGCGTAAACATTGTCATACATTTTGTGAGCGATTTTCCTAAAATTGTTCTTGATATATAAGAAGTTATATATCATTTTTTTCCATCCTCATAAATCGAACCAGATTACTTTATATCTATTCGTTGTAGTCCAGTTGTAGTCGCTTGCCTTCATCTTAGTTCTAAATTCAAACTGAAAGTCATAAAAGAAATAAAAAAGTTATTTATTACCTTTAACCATATGTTTTAGTTGATAAAGACGGAAGTGTACATTTTAGAATGTTCTATGAACAGAAGAATATAAACTGAATCAAATATATTTCTAAATCCGATGAAACTCAGCAGAGAAACAAAACAAAAACAAAGGAAAACTGTAATAATATAAACTATATGAATAAAATTTCATTAATTCTTAAATAAAAAAAGTTAACTGAATCACTTGCTAGATCTACTGCGAGGAAAATTGGTTCACTGTGTCGTGCTAGACAATTTTTCTCATCAGAATCTATTGAAAACAACAAAGATGAGGATACTAGTCGAAATATATATAGTGTAAATAATTATAATTCCTTTTCCTAGGAATTCAGAAAAAAAAACAGAATCTATCTTACACATTTATAAATCTACCATTCGTCATGCATTGGATATTCCTCTTACATATGGTCTTGGTGCTCCGGCTATTCTTGATAAAATACAAAGAAGTATCTGCAATGTTATTGATCCTGCGCTAACAACTCGGCTTCAGTCACTTTCCCACCGCTATAACGTAGCTTTCCTGTGACTTTTCTTTAAATATTTTTATGGTAATTCTTCTGATGATTACCTGTGTAGTATCTAGATATTATGAATTTAAGCGCAAGGTGTCATTTTTTTTTTTTACAGTTGGAATGACTAGATATAACCGTAAATTTTATGCTCACATTTTTCTCACACTTCTCGCCTGTGGAACTTTCTTTCGACTTCTTTCGCGTTTTCCTGTCAAGTTTGATCTTCAAAAAATTAAATGTCAATCATTATCTTCCGTCCTCTTTATTCCTGTTCTTTTAGCGTTCTTATTTCTTTAATAATGTTTTCCTTTTCTTATATTCTTTCCTACTCAGTCATCTCTCCCGTCTTGGGGGCTTTATTGCCTTGCTTGTGATGAAATGATTAAAAAATATCTCCGTATTTTTGTCAATGAACGGATAACAAAAAATGGCGTCTCTCTTTGATACACCGATATCAAAAGTTTGCTTTTATACTCTACCCAACTCTAAGCCGGAACCTTCTATAATATTCCGAATACTACTGCC